ACATAATTATTGCCACACTTCGTGAACAAAAGAAAACAAAAACCGGAATCTTGGAGCCAAATCTTTGAAGGGACGTCCATTGAAGAAATAATTAAAGGGAAAATGGTTGGTGACGTTGCACACCAAACCGAAAATTCAAACGTAGCTTGAAACTTGACAAAACATCATTTAATATTCAGCCAGAGCTGAAAATTCCAAACACACACACAAAAAAAAAATTGGTATCAATATGAGCCGCAGAGTTAAGTTGGAAATTTGCTCAAGCAAAGCTAACTCTCACTCTCTACTTCTTTCTCTCGTCCCAGTCGCTCTCGATTATTTTATTTCATCATAACTTTTAGCGCACCCCATTCAAAAATTTGCATTCAAAGTTTCTCTTTCACTTGTGTGCACACAGTGTTGTTGGCATAGCCGCAGTCATTCCGATTGACGGAACACAAATTCAAACACCAACTTTGATTCTCAAACATTTGAAGCGTTTTAAAAGTGGTTGCGTGTTGCAGTCGCAGTTTTTTCCCCGGCTGCTGCTGCTGCTGCTGTTCGCTGCTCTCGTCCGTTTGCAACTTTAAACACATTGTGTGCATAATTGTAAATTCAGTTTGTAAAACTAAAAGTCTCAAGACAATGTGCATTTATCGCTTTTGCGTTCGCACAACTAGAGAAAGAGTGTATGGCGATTCCCGGTTTTTCCCGGTCGTCGATTCAGATTGCACTTCGAACGAGCGAACGAGCGAGCGGTGTATTCATTCCTGCACTTTTGCTTGCATTCACTTCGCTCTCACACACACGTAACAAAATTCTAAACTTTTTAAATTAACTATAATAATAAATAGAGTTTTTCCCGTTGCTTTCAACTCCCTTCTGTCACCGTGCGCGAGAGAATGCCTCCTTCCAGCACACCCGCACTCTCTCTCTATCTCTCCCACTCATTCTCGCATGCCACCAATTCTCAGGCGGTAAAAATGCAAAATGTATGCGTGTAAATGTTTTATACTGTGCATCGGAAAAGAAACAACCATCGAACAAAACGAACGCAAAGTGCTTCCGACACTTTTACATTTTTTAAATCAGTATTTTTCAAATTAAAACTTTTTGTCGGCAACGACGACGTCGACGGCCTCTGCATGTGAACGAGGTTTTTTCTCCCTTCTTCTTCGGATATTGTTGTATGGATGTGTGTGTGGGATTTTTTTTTCAACTGCCGGTACACAGTTGAAGTAATATATGTATTTTTAATTTCTACTCAAAGTATGGGAGCTCATGCATAGCGTTGGCGTGACGCGCGCGCGCTCCGCTTCCATTCAAATCCAAATTCATTGGTTACAAGGAAATGCCATGGTGTGCCATTAGCAAATTTAATACGATTAAAATGCGAAAAAAAGTAATGCCTGCACTTTGTTATTGAAAGGCAGAAGCAAAACACATTAATAAAAACCGTGATTAACTGATTTCGCCGTACTAAGATGCAAAAATTCCAAACTTTGTGGTCAATTTTGCTCTTTCTCTCTCTCAAGTTTATTTTTTATTCCGACCACGTCACGATAATTTGTTCCACAATAGATTTTCAAGAGTCAGATTTGGCTTCTTGCATAATAATGCTATAGAATAAATGTATTTTTTTCGCTCAAAAATATTTTCATCAGTTTTAATCGTTGACTCCAGCTGCTTGAAATCTGCCTGAAGCTTATGATTGGGGCTTTTCAAGAAGACTTTTTCCAACAAGATTGTTGTCATTAAGTCGGATTTCATGAGATGAAAAGGTTATGTGTACATTAAGCGTGTGCAGATGCTAGCAACAAAATCAGCGAAAACATAAACATAATCATACACATGTCAGTTTTTGCACATTAGATTCGGGGATTTTCGGAAATCAGTATTTACGGTGGATATTACTTTTGATGCTTTTAATTTCATTACATTACGCTGCATCCGACACGGCAACATATAGCTTAGAAGCCATTTAAGAAATTCATAAGATGTCTCTCACGACTGAATGATTTTCAGAAAAGCCATTTGCGGCAACGTGAGCTTATGCGAAATACTTTCCAAGTATGTGCTGTTCGCCCCTAATCCGACATTGGATTGGGATATGATGAGTGCTCGAGAATGAAACGTGTTTTTTTAATTTTTCCCAGCAAAAAAGAATCCTTCCATCCCTGCTAAACAGTCGTAATAAGGTGTGCATTGCTTTTTGGAATGTGTGAGAAAGAGAGAAGGAACGAAAGAAAAAGGGAGGTAGACTTCGTCGAGGTAATAGTCACGATTCTTCTTTCATGGATCAAAGCCGAATGAAAGCTCAAACAAATGATAGCATTAGATTGATTGGTGAACCGATGTCTATATTTGTTTTTCGTTATGTAATTAAATATATCTATGGAATTCGGAAGCGAAGCCTTCCTCCGGCAAACGGAATTTGAGACGATGAGATTGCATACTGTTTCTCGGTGAATGAAACAAACAACAAATAACAGCTAATATTAAATTCTAACCGAGAAGCAATTTGTATGTTTACATTTCACGAAATGAAACTATGTACAACTTCATCACGAATGTCGCACGCATGCTGCGTGAAATTTTCTGAACCATCATCATCATCATCCGCAGGAATGTTGCATTGAGCTAATAGTGCTTCGACGGCATTTTTGAAGAATCATATGAGCATCGTTAATAACATCGACGCACAGCAGCACATGCCACAGAAGAAAAAAATATTGACAAAATTGGTCCATGTCAATTTTGTTAAACGTCTCTCCTATGCTAAAATGCCTTTTGTGTGTACACCATATTTCATACAACGGAATGCGTGTACCACATTGTATTGTTTGTTATTCTTCGTGCCGAATTGAATATGAGCGCAAAACCGTAATGAAAATCTTTGAAAACACGAACCAAATGAAATGAGCTTTAATAGTGATAGAGGTTATGTACATGGAACGAAACGTGTGCACAACGCTATGATTAGCACCGATAAGATCCCATGGAGACCGACTTCGGAATGTGCGGATGAACAGGGCTTGGAAAGCGGCGTTTTCAAGGGAATACCAGAAGAAAATGTAGATGAAGAAGGCCTTAACTTTTGTTGAAAGCAAATGCAGTTACTAATTTGAACCAGAAATTTAACTTCAAAACAAATTTTCAATTGAAAATTAATGTAAATAAGGGTGACTTTGACTCAAAGTCTAGGATTTAATGAAAATTTGATGCAAAATTCTAAGAAAATGTTTTTTTTTCCTTATTTATTGAACTTGTTCCATTTTTTTTCTTATGAATTTTCTCATTTTCATCAAGTTTTCTCAATTTTCTTCTTCAAAACCAACAAGGTTTGATTTGATTGGTTTTCAGTATCCATTTATTTGATTGCAAATATTCCATGGTGTTTGATTTTGTACATCGCCTGACCTTTTTGGCATGGAGTTGAAAAGTTGGGTCCGATGCGAGCCCTGCACGACGTGACACACATATCATGAATGGCATTTCTGCGAAGGCACGCATATTCCAAGTTTTGAAAAGACGCAAACAAACAGCGACACTGACAGCATCAACAACTAACAGAATAGAGCCATTTACATCGAACACAATTGCACGCATGACAGCATAGACATAGAGCGGGCGAGCGAAACAGCAGGAAAGAAAAAGAGTGGAAAATACCCGAGTCAGTCTTCATCTTGGAAGTGGGAGCTCAACGCCGCAAGAATTAAATAAAACAACAAAAAAATATGTGTCAAAATGTCAGCAGCATAATACGTGACATGTGCAAATCTAGGTAATGATCGGTGTGTGTATGCATATACATACATATTCAACCGATCCCGTGTGTTTTCACGAAAGAAAACTTTTCTCTCCTTGCAACGTTCTTCATCATCAGAAGTCTTGTCTTGTCTTGTCGAATTCTTGTTCTTTCGCACAGAAAAAGCGCGATGGGAAAAATGAGCATTCAAACAAAAGCTCTTCACATTCTTCGGCAGCAAATGCTATGGCATCAATATCATTGTCGATGGTTCTCATTTGTACCATTTAATTTAGAAGTTGACGCGCGCGGTGTTTCACATTTTTGTCTTCGTCTTTTTTGAGCTCAGCATTTTGATTGTTCGTGTTCTATACACACTGTTTTTTTTTCTCTCTTCTGTTGCTGGCTTCCATATTGGATTGAGAGACTTTTTGTGTATGCACCACGCCATTCTCATAATTATCATGACTCTGTTATTAATGTAGATATTTTTCGTTTATTTTATGGTGATGTGGATGTACGTATACACACGTATCCATAAACAATAGCTTTAAGCCGCACATTTTTGTCATCCATGTGGAGGTGGCATTATGTAAGCATCTTTTATTTTTATCTATGCATTGTTGAATGATGGCGCGTGTGAGAGTGAAAGAATGGCAATTGGAGAAAAAAAAAGAAATATGATGAGCCTCGACGAAAGGAAATGCCTTGAAATTGTAGCAAGACCTGATACAGCATTTGAAGCAAATATAGGTTCCGGAAGGTAGATTTTGCTATGATGCGAGCAACTAAGTGAGATTTATTCCGCGTGCTCGCCTCTCTGCCACCTCTTATCGCATTGAAAAATGACTTTTGTTTGGTAAGCCCAGTGAATATGGCTGAGTTTCATCATCATCATCTCACCAACAGACGCTGTCGTGCGTTTCGAATTTCATTTTTTTTTTTTGCCCCAGCTATGAAGCTATGCAGAGCTTCGTGAATGGCCTGTGCAAAATTTATGAAAATTTCGTTGACACTTTGCCTTCGCCCACTATCATTTTCATTTTCATTTTCATTCGGTGTGAATAGTTGAAAAATTTCATTGTTCAAAGACAATGACAATGAAAATGAAATGAACAAAAGCGAAGCGGAAAAGTTTTAAATTGGAATGTATGTAAGGCTGAACAAAAGAAAGAAAGAAAAATCAGATTTTTCTCTCTCTCTTTCCATTCTGCTGAATAAGTAAAAATGAAATGAATGCTGAATAGCAGACAATTGCATGAAAATGACTTACCGACTCGCTCCACAATATTGGCTCTGTTTCGATGAACCATTTTGATTCCGAATTATATTCAACGTTTGGTCGAAAATGTTCTGTTTTTTTTTCTCTTGTTTAGTTCACAATACTTTCGTTTTTATTCTCTATTTCGATAATCTCTGTGTTTATTGTTCAATTGAAATCGATTTTCTTCGACGATTTGAAATAAGCATGGTGATCGTTGTCATTAACTAAACTCAATCGATTTTGTAGCATTAATCAAATTAATAAATTGATTTGAGTCATTGGGTAACACAATGAAAACCCGAAAAATGGTCAAGCTTACGGACACGGTTACATTAAAGACAAAAGGAGATGCGAATGAGAGAAAGAAAAAAAAATAATGCCATAGAAAAATGATTCTCATTCGACGCCCTATTGAGCCAAAGCGCAGTTTTACTTCATTCGTCGTTGATTGTTGGCCGAGTTGTTTGACAATAGGATAAAAGGAGAAGTTTCACACGCAGTATTTAGAGATAAGAACGAAGAAAATGATGAAGAGCCGAGTGAAATACAGCAACAGCAAAATCAGCAGTAGCATCATCATCATCACAGGAAAGAAACAGACAAAAAATGTACACACATTTTTTCCGTTTGTTTCGGAGAGTAAAATGGGCAAAGAGCTATTAATCAACCACTGTGTTATCTCATTCAGAGATAAATTCCCGAAGTGTCAGACACGAGAAGACAAAATGATATTTTACTGGAACAACAGAGCTCTGACTATCTATCCCTCCCTCTCTCTTCGTCTGTGCTGCTCGTCGAAAGGAAAGTGACGGACCCAAAACCACCACAACGAAAGAGAGTTAAGGAATACAGAAAAAAGTGCAAACGGAAAATGGTATTTAACAAATACCAACACGTTTTCCCTTCGCACTTGTCGGCAGTGCCATGGCACTTAGATGGAGAGCGGCTGTTTTTTTTTCCCTATTGTTTTCACCTTTTATAATAATTATCGATAAGATAGCGCACAAAGAATACACATGGCTGCGATAGAAGGATGCCAGTTAATTGCATGTTTAGTTTTCAACGGCAGTGACTGAGCTGAGTTTGTGTGTGAGTGGGTATGCGCCATGAGAGTATGTATTTTAATTTTCGGCGCAAATATTTTGGCGCTTGTGATGCGAATCGCACAGTTAACGATGAAAAGTGAGTGTAGAGTATGCGATTTCAGCATATCTACTCCATGCCAAGATAAAATAATAATAATGATTGTGAGGCTGTTGATGATGCTTTTGTCGAGCGCCGATTGTTGGGTCTGTCGGTGGTGGTGATGGAGTTGCTACTACTACAACTGCTGCTATTGCTATTGTTGTTGTTGCCACGGTGGTCGCTGTAACCGCTGTTCAATGTTGATGTTTTGTTGGTTGTGTGTATATGTTTACTCGATTCATACGCCAACGATTCACGTTGCTGCTGCTGCTGGTGGTGTTTGCAGCCGTATTGCACATGGCACACAAGTGTGAGGAGGATATTTTACGATGAAATTTCATTTATATGGACGGTTTTATGTGTTTGATGTTGATTCGATGAACAGACGGCTTGCAAAACCGAAAAGATATGTGGAAGCCCTGAAGTAAAAAGTATGCACGCATACATCAAAACCGTCGGCGAAGAATTTTATTGATTTCAATTTTCATTGTGCCTTTTACACTGGCACAATCTCTCACTCGTTCACTATCGCTCTTTTGCTGCGTTCCAACTACCATTGCTACTGCTGCTGTCACTGCTGCCAACCGCCAAAACCCAGTTGTTAGCATCGCAATTTACGGAGTTTGCCATCGAATGAAAATATTTGTAAAATGCCAATAACATGGTGAGTGATGATGGGAACCGTTCCGCATCGATTTATATTTATATGTGAACACGTTCGCTGTGTTCTTTCACTCACTTGAAGCACTGCAAATGGAATTTCGAAGGGACCAACCAAACTCCCTGATATATGTATTCGAATGGGTGCGGGAGCGACAGCAGCAGCAGCAGCAGCACACATTTGTACGATGCAAAATAAATTCCAAGCATCCATTTCAATCGACCGAATTCGAAGCCGCTCTCTTCTCCATCACTATCATCGTCAACATCACAATGATGAATCACCCATAAGTTTAACAACACATTTCACTTGTACTTTTGCCAGTTCAACTTCATTTGGAATTGAAATTCATATTTAATCGTGTTTTAATTAATTATTTAAGTGCTTGTAATTTGATCAAAAGTTTGTTAAGCAAAAGAGTGTAGTGGACTAGGAGTGCGCACGGGCACGAGTGAACGTGCGAAGCGGACGGGGGAACCCACACACACACATACACGAATGAAATGATGATGATGACGACGACGACATGAACAATTATTGTTCTGCATCACAGTGGATAATTTATTCAAAGCAAATGAACAACGAATTATATTTACTGTCATTAATCCAGCCGATTCTTTGGTGATTTTATTCAAAGAGGCTATGAATTGCAGCCATTTCAACTATTATCCTATATATATTCAGATTGAATTTCATTCATGCTATGGAATTATAGTAGCTGTTTTACGGGCCGAAAATTCTCGAACCAAGCCCCAAATAGCAACAGCAGCAACAGCAGCCGCAACAACTCTTTAGCATAACCGAATTTTCATTCACTTGCAATCGCTTCTCGAAATTCACGATTCATTAATACGAACGAAACAAGATGTATATCAATTTTAATTGAATTTCCTCGTGGCACTGCTGCGCATTTCCCGAACAAAATCGACCGAGTACAGCCAAACATTTTGTTGCCATCTAAAAATTTTGAACAACCGAAATGGAACACACAGCGCTCTTCACACAAAACAAGACGAAAAATGATTTTTCGTCTTATTCGGTCTACTGCATCGTGTAGACATCAATAAATATACCAACAACGGCACACAATTACGTAATGAAATGGATCGTACGGCATTTTGGTGGCTTACAAACAGCCAGACGAATAGATGCAATGCATAAGAAGTAGACAGACACACAAACACACTGCGTAACGATCAACTCAATGTGAACGAAAACGGAACTTGCTACTCAATAACAAAACAAGAATCACACACACTAACTTCATTTTATTTTTTTTTATTTTCTCGCGAAATATATTGTCCACTGAACTCTCTCTGGCTCTTCGTCAATGCCACCAAGAAAGCAAAAACTCCGTTCGCTGTCTATTCTAACAAAATTCGATTACTTTTCACAATTGTTCGAAAAAAATTCAATTAATTAATTTTTCGCCTCTTTGTCTTCTTCGTCTTCTTCGTCCGAATAAAACCGTCCGTTTTTCGTCAGTTCAACCGAGACGAATGCGAAATACACACCATTCCGATCCAGATAAAAACTGTTCCTGAAACGCTTTTTTTCCTTTCGAATGGATGTTGATGCAGAACACAACACTCTGCGTGTGTGGCCCGTTCTCCGCTTACGAAATGGAAATAGTCGAGATGATGCGATGTGAAAAAGACAGCGCGAAAAACCCACTCTGAATTCGTTCTCTTATCACTTGTTTTGTTTTCCACATCTCGGTTTCACAGTGACTTTCTCTCTCTCTCTCTCTCACTGTGTTGTACTCTCTTTCACACATTCTCTCTCTGTGTGTGCCGCTCGCTCGGTCATGCTCGTGCTTCGACAAGAGAGCGCACTGAAAGCCGTGTGCAAAGCATTGTGAATTGAAGAGAATGCTCGGATGGAAAAAGCTTTCTCACGCGCTCTGCCTGTGAGAGAGAATGTGATGTTTATGACATTCTCGCATGAGGCACAAACGCTTGGCAAGAGCTTTGCTGAGAGTTTGTGCAATGGAGACGGCTATATGGTGCAATTTTCCGGCTAGGCAATGCTCACGCCGCACATGCCACGCGTTGGACAGAGTGCGCTATAGAAAATAGAAAATATTTTGAGAGGACAACATGCTGCACATCCACGTTCATCCCTTTTGCACGATTGTGTCTCTTGCATTCAAGCGCGCACACACAACACGAGGACGTTGAACTTATATGTTTTCAAAGTACTTTGGATGTGTCTTTCGTGTTTGATTGTTCCGCTTCGATAGTAAATGATTTTGTGAATTGAAAAAACAAAAACAAAACCACCCAATGTCGCTCTCTCTCTCTCTCTCGCTCTTGCTCTATCAAAATATGAAATCGACAATGATGATTGACAATGCGAAAATGAAGTTCCTTTCAGCATGAATGCTTTTTTTTGCAATTTGCGCTTTTAAAAGCTTTTCCTCGCCCCGAAAAAAAACTCAACCCAAGAATTCTCCCAACTCCGTTCACTTTGTATTTGTTTTGAATTTTGTACTGAGCGAGCGATGGAGAATGATGCGATTGGGAATAGTGACAACGCTATTGATGATTTATGTAAATAACATTTAGCCAAAACCTAGGGGGAAAGAACTGAGTAAATGAAAATATAAATATTGTAAATAATCGCATATTCTACCGAGTTTGGATCAATACGCGTCAATGCGTGTCAATGCGCTGAATAACTAGCTGCGAATGCATGCAAATATGGTCAATAAAATGTGCGTATTTGCAACTGTCATTCGTGCTCGCCACGAACGAGACGAAGCAACAGAAGAAAACAACAACAATAACACTACGGAACGCAGTGCAAATGCCTGTGAATATTTGTCGATACGTGTCAATGAAGTAAATATACCAATAGTTCTTTCCCCCTAGGCCAAAACTAGCATAAACGAATGATTTCTTTCTTGCCGCACACACACAGTGAACGAAGCTGATGACGAATTTCATCGCTAAGCATTTCCAATGATTTTGATTTTGTTCGTTTACAAAATAAATTTACTTTTGTTTCTCGCCAAATTGCTCTTCAATTTTTCGGTGCATTTAAAATTCGAGTCTGGATTGGAAAACACGAGCTCCGGTCGATTCGTGTTCCGATAAAATGCTTTCACATTTTGACAACGTCTCAAAATCGATCGGCGTGCGAAAGATGTATATTTGATGTCGACGAGGACGACGATGGCGACGACAGCGAAGACGAAGGAGATGAACATTGACAGATTACAATTCCGTTTTTGCCCTGCTTTCTCGGCCATCTCAATAAAGTTACAAAAGTAAATATTGGCTTTATCATGTTTACCAATGAATCGTTTTTGTTTGAGCATCCCAAAATCGGATGTCGACAACGAAATGGAAAAAGCACACGCAACAGGAGATCAGCGACAATTTATTCAGAGCGAAACAGAGGCGGACACAGAGAGTGAAAGAGAGATCGAAACGTATTTCAATTTGCCATCTGTAAACTTGTCAGACAACCTCTCTGCGGGTATGGTAAAATCTATCTTGTTTTCTCGGCGATAAAATGTGTTTGTGCGCTATTTTTTCGGGCGTTTTAGTTCACGACTTTTTTTCTTCTCTCTCTCTCTCTCTCTCTCTCTTTCACAAGAAGGTAATTTTTCGATCACACGTAAAATGCCCTGTTTCCGTTTCACATATCTTCATTGTTGCTTTTGGCTCTGTTTATTTTCCTATTTTAAATTAATTCCAAACAAAAGCACAAAAGCTTTCGATTGTCATTTTGGGCACGACGACAATCACATTGAATGACACTTTTTGCTGAATCTATCTTCGGTTGGTTTGATTGTTTCTTTTTCTGTTTGCTACTTCTCTCTTCAGCTCTCTGTTCGTTTTGTTTTATCGTTCGGAAATCCAACGAAATGAACCATAATATAAAATCATAATAATCCACTGTGTAATGCATGCGAGTAGTGTGTGGATTTTTGCGCAGCAACGCAATGAGCCGACAAACAAAGTGAAACAAATGACAGTAAATATTAAATAGTAGATATATACGTGCATCTTCGGTTGGATGAATCTGTGTCAATTCCATTAACTGAACGCATTCACGACTCGTGAATCACGAATAAGTAAGTAAGTTGCTCGAAGCAACACAATGTACCGGTAATAAATACAAACTTTATGTAAAAAGTTATAATGTTTGATTATACAAACTTCATGCGAAAAAAAATAAACCTTTTTTTCCCTGCATACTTTGTACAAACACCTTCGTGCACATTCTGATGTCGTATCGATTTACTTCCGCTTCGTCATATTTTTGCTGTGTCGTTTTTTTTCCCTGCATACACTTTCAACAACATCTTTCGACATTTAATTTCGATCACCAATACGGAGTCGTATTTGCATTTCAACTATGGCGAAAGAGCCGCGCGTTTAGTGAACCATAGCAAGGAAGAAAAAGGTGTAGACAAACATATGCACATATAAATAAGAACAGGAATATGAAAAGCGCCTGCTTACAAATTGAGAAGAAAGAAAGAAAAACAGCCATCGACAAGGATCTCTCGGCCGTGGGTGCTTTTCTTCTTCAACAAACGGAAAACCTTTAAAGACACTTTTCATAATAAAATATTCAATTTGTTTCAATGGCACCATTTTCCAATGTGTACACAACTTGTCGGGCTTAGTTTAATAACATATGCTTTTGCCTTCCTGACAACTACTCTCGCTCATATTCCATGCAAATGCAAATGAATCGAAACGCACATTTCATTCGACCCTTCAATCAACATTTTTTTTGTGCTTCTTTTTCTATGCATGTCGCCTTGTGTCACAAAGAGATTGTTTTTACTTGTATCGATCAGAAAACGGAGTTTATTGACAGATATGCTTGAGTATGTAATATCGACACATATAAACGCGCGCTCGCGTCACTGTAGACAGATATACATTCAGATATCAGTACGTATCACGATGCAAAAACCAAGTCATCGCAATAAATCACAGTATTTTGAGTGACAAGTTTAGCATGAATCCGGTGACATACACGGTGCTCAACAGTCGCCACATAACTCACAACGGCGTCAACATTTTCACATTGCGTTGAATATATGGGGAGAGAGAGAGGGAAAGAGAGCGAAAAAAATAGCAACAGACACATAACCGCATACACTTAGCTCGCTTCCATACTTTTTTGGTTACTCATAAAATCAACGTGACGTGCCTTCGGTGCGTGTGACAGGATTCTACAAGAAATACGCATTTACATATCAAATAACTTGAATCAATGTCAGTCGAAGTGTATCATTGCAGAAGCCACCATCATCACGCGGCAAAGCACATTGATCTCTCAGACAGTGAAAATGTAATAAAAATCGTTGTATAAAAATGAAATAAAATCCAGAATGAAAAGAAACGCGAAATAAAAAAAAATCGGATGGAAACTTTTCTTTGAAAACTCAAAATGCTCTGGAGACGGTGGGCTGTATGAAAAATATTGATCTTGCGACGAAAATGTTTGACTCGTTTTTCATCTCCATTTTTCATAGCTGTGGCCGATGATAGAAACATTGGTGCATAATAAAGTTAGCCGTGGTTAATTTGTGAACTTTCAAACTTTGGCTTCGGTGTTCAACAAATAACCATGATTTCGTGCAGCTACAGTTTTTTTCTCGGTTTATTGTTGAATGAGTACAAAATAGTTGCAATAATAAAAAGTAGTACATGTACATGTATATCGTTAGTTCGGTCCAATGCATCCGGCCAGTGCATTTTTCGATTGATGTGTCTCAGTGATTGGAAAGCTTGAAAATGAGCTTTGCGTCTTTTGTCTGACTTTCAGGTCAAATTGAATTTTCTTTGTCACACAACACATGCACCCACACACAAAATTCAAAGAGCAAACCATTCGCTACGGTATATAAAGCGTTTGGGCTAGAAATTTAATTAAATTGATTCGTAATGGTTTGGATGTGGAGGGAATTTTCCAATCTCTCAATTTAGAAGAGTCTCTTCATTGCGGAAAGTGCATCGTACACACACACACACACACCGAATAGATCGAATATCCCCGAATAATGAAATTGCGTTGAAAGGTCCAGTGTTGTATATGTGTGTGTGCTCCGATCTCTAAATTGCTGGGAAAATTTAATAAAATGCTTACAAATGAAATTACGTTTCACACATACCCAACATTTTCTAACGTATTGATGATTATTTTATAATGTGTCTAAATGTGCGAGCGTCAAGCGCGCACAAATGGCCAGGATAATGAAATGGAATGAGTAAATGAGGGCGCGCGCGCTCGTGCATCGATTTCTATGGCAACATGTAGCACATCGTCGAATATTTAATTTACCATTCTATAATGACACTTGTGGAATATTAATTTGTGATGGAAGTGAACGAGTGTAATGGAACCGCTGTGCTGAACAACACGTGGAATGTCAAGCTCATTGGCAAACTCGAAGCACACCATTGCGAAAATGGCTTTCAAACCAAGAGACAATTGATTGTACACGGTTCATCGTTTTTTTCCGTTCTCTCTTTTGATTGGATGCGGGTGTTTCATGTGTGCCTACGTTTGTTGCGGACTAAATGACGTACAAACGATTGTACACCTTAATCCAGACATCACAACCAACGATAAAAAGACAT